GATAAAGAAAAATTAGTAGTTAAAATCAGCATACTTGTTTTAGAGTTCTCTTTTAGCACTACTAGTTTCTCTAAAATGTATCTCTAAACTTTTTAAGAACAACCACATTCTAAAGATATTTTAGTAAGAAAAATTTCTTGAGATGTAAAGGAAAAACCTGAACATTGAAGCAAAACAGAATAGATGTGAACAGAACATATGGCAAAAGAATCTTTTAAAAAGGATTTTATTTAAAGTCTACTGGAGGGGCCGACGCCATGGCTCACTTGGTTAATCCTCTGCCTGCGGCACCGACATCCCATATGGGCACCGGGTTCTAGTTCTGGTTGCTCCTCTTCCAGTCCAGCTCTCTGCTGTGGCCCGGGAAGGCAGTGGAGGATGGCCCAAGTGCTTGGCCCTGCACCCGTATTGGAGACCAGGAGGAAGCACCTGGCTCCTGGCTTCAGATCAGCACAGCTCCAGCCATAGCGGCAATTTGGGGGGTGAACCAACAGAAGAAAGACCTTTCTGTCTGTCTCTCTCACTGTCTAACTCTGTCATATAAGTAAAGTAAAATAAAGTCTACTGGAAGCAAAAACAAAGAGGAGGAAAAATACCTATAAAAAGGCAGACCTAATAGAAAAATCAACCCAAACACTATGTATAGGTCTTACTTGGATTCTGATCTGTAAAATCAAATGTAACAATAACTTATGAGACAATGAGGAACATTTGAAAACTCATTTGACATTTGATATTAATGAATCATTAATTTTCACAGGTGATAATACATTAAGAAGGGGGCTCTGATAGTTTAGGTAATCAAATTGAAGTAGTTATGGAAGAAAGTATATCTTGTATGTGTTTTAGAACAAGCCAGTGGTAAAATAGAGATAACAGATGGAATGAAATAGGTCACATATTAATGAATATTAAAGTTGGGAGATGGGTACATGAGGTTCATTAAGCTCTACTTTTATATATGTTTAAAACTTCCCATTATAAATTATTTTTAAAGAAATCAACTGGTCTACTGGTAATGAAACTAAGAGAATATTTATTAAACATCAATTCAAAATTGAAGATAAGGGATTACTGTAATTCATAAACCCCTTACAGCTGCTTTTCATGAAGTGGAAAGGGGAAAAAGAACACTAACTATCAGCTTACTAGAAATTAGAAAGCCCTTAAAATCCAACATGAGCAAAATCAAAATAAATTGCAGTCAAATAATCCAAAACTGTACTACATTCCAGTATATAATCTCTTACTTTAAAAAAAATTCCAAAATAGAACACTTACCTTCTAAGTTTTCAAGATCAAAAATAAAACTATAAGAAAGCAAAAGGTATCACCATAATGTGGGAAATAATGCAGACTTTTGGGAGAAAAAAATACTATCATTTATAAAAAATTTAATAGAAGAATGTTATTAGTGGAAGCATTTTTCTTTACCAAAGGATTACTTTACAAACATCTGCTATGATGTTTCCTAAAGACACCAAACTATATAAATGTCTGGCATAGACTGAAACATTTCTTGAACAAACATTTGCTTTGTTCATACAATTACATTTAGAGTTACCTGAGTTATTTCTACATCTAATTGAAAAGTGAGTACAACAGCTTTGGTTCAAAATACAACTGAAATTAAAAATTTTAACAGGCCATGAGATAAAAAATAAAGAACATAGTAACAAACAAAGTATATTGAGATACTAGAAAAAAATCATAGTGTGATGGAAAATAAAAACACGGATGACAGGTGTTACAGGTTCTGCTGCTACTTTGGGAAGTAAAAAGCCATGGGACTGAAATTTCTGCCTATAAAGGCATTAGATCAGTTTATCTCTTTCTGCAGGCTACTTACTCAGCCTATAATATCTACATATTCCCTTTCTTCCTTAGGAAAGAATCCTTGACTTTCAACAGAGTGCATTACATGGCTGCCTGGAATAAAGCACACTTGCAACTAGGTACAACCATGCACAACTGTTACGTGGAAGTATTGTGTGTGGGCAGCACTGATCAAAGACAATGAGCACACCCTCTGCCTCTTCTTCCCTGCACTCAGGACATTCTGCACATCCAGGCATGGCTGAAACTTAACACCCAGTTTTGAAGTAAAGTTTATAGTGTTTATAGAACAATTATTTTGGATTTTTTATAGCTTGAAAACAAACTTAATCCCAGATGGTACAAAACAATATTTTTATATTATACTCCCATTACCTTGAGAATAAACAGTAATTCAACAATAAGTAACTGAAAGAAAAAACAGAAGGAAAATCACTCTAGAAAGAAAAACTACATATATAATATTCCTAACATTTTCCTTCTGACTTCTGAGAATGCGAGAAAGGAGTTTAATGTTATTTTGGTTTTTCCTGACAGAGGTAGCTGGCACATTCATTATAGGCCATTTAATTTCAGATTAATTTCAAGCATTCATTATTTCCTAAGTCTTTCATTCAGCAAATATGTATTAATCATCTACTATGTGTTGTGTACTAAGGTGTCTGAATAAGACAGAAAAGACCCCAATTTAATAAAGCTACATTCTAGTAGTAAAATAAAAGGTACTGGATATTTAATGGGGAAACATTCACAGAGGTTAGCTATTCTTCTACCAAAGATAACTTCTCAGCATCAAAAATATAAACTTATAAATGTTCTTTCTTTAAAATGAGGGCTTGCACAAGAACCAGAATAATTTAATATTTATTGCAGCTAAATCAATGTTTCTATGTACCTTTATTTGTTTTAACCCTTTATGGGAAAAATTTCCATTTCACATACTCAGCAACTGGAATCTTATTTTTAGAGTGAAGTTGAACACAGAAATTACCATGACAATCCAAACGTGTTTTGGTGAGAAATTTATTTAAGGAACTCTAAAGCTAATTGAATTTATAGGAACAGAGATAATGCAGTCATAAATAGAAATTATTGATCAGTCAACAAAAGGAAATAAAAATTGGGGAATCTAAAAAACATAGAAAGGCTGATCATAAAAAGAATGGAGTATTTTCTAAATCTGCCCGAACACTCATGGGAGACTAGATAGTCTTCACATCCATTGATAAAAATAGATATTGGTGATTAAGATGTTATAAATGGATATTAAAGTTAATATACCTGAGCATGAGAAGATAAAAACTTATTAAATGATCTAGGTTTAACAGACGCTATGGTTAGAATTCAAATCTAGAGGACATAACACGATGAAAAAGTAAATTGGAAGAGTACAGGAAAAAAAGAGTACTTAAGTCATTTACATTTTCATTATGCACTGATACATATATACAAAATGACTTGGAAAAGAGCCCTTCCAGTAATTTCCTCAATAGACCTCTACAGATCAAAAGAGTTACTATGTATCTGACCTTTGGTGAAAGATGTTGTTTAGGCACTTAAAATAGGAATCACTTGAACAAGTTATTTCAGGTGGTGATTTACACAATGGAAGGCCACAGTAAAATATAATATATTGCAATATAGAAAAAAACTGTAACAAAATGTACATATATGAACCATGATACAATCTTGATACAATTTAGCACATATACTAAATTAATAGCATAATTTACCAAGGATATGTAAAATGTTACAAATGCCAAGTACTTACTACAAGGAATGATTATTCAAATAGAAGTTAAGACTATTGTGCTTGTAACACCTATAGTACACTGAAGGATGTTAATATTATGGGATTAAAAAAGTTGTCATTATGGGGTATCCTTCACATATACAAGTGATCTTTAAAAAGTTCATGGAGACGCATACTATGAGAAAACTATGCATAGATTTCAAAATATTTTTCACACCAAAACAAATTTATCTTTTAATGCCAAGTTTTCATTAATTTTTTTCAAGTACTCTCAAATACATGATTCTCAGAGAATTCAAAATGGTTATTACATACAATAAGATTTCATTGTATCAGTATCTTTTATACCCAAGTGTTGCCTAAGTCAGTAACTTTTATAATCTGGGACTACAGAATATTTTTGGTAAAATTCAGTTGATGACAGAATTGAAAAGAATGTCACTTTTTCACATGAAAACATACATGTCACAAAACATGGTGATATTATCTAATATCACTGCTCAATCTCAAAGATCAAGGACAATTTTCTGTGTAAGTGGACCTTAAAGGATAGAGGCCCAGTATACTTAATTAATATGAACTAAAGTATAGAAGGCACAGGTTCATAATCAAGGGTCCAAGATCTATTTTAGGGAATCCAAGAATACCCTGAAGCTCTAAATAAAATTCAGACCTAGACATGAAATGATCTGGTAACTGAACAATTTCAGGAGACCTTAAGTGACTCAATAGTAAGTACCTGAATAACAGAAACTTCATTTCTACAGTCACACTGGATTTTCATTCTTCCCAAAGCAGTTTCAAGAAAAAAACCCCGAATGTTGACACCAAAAACTAACAAGAGCTGTACACTTTTAGAAAGCTCTATGGGATTATCTGCCACAATCAAGAATAGAGGAAAATCGTGAGACACTTTCAGCATTTGAGAGAGAAGAGAATGACTCAAATTCCTCTGGATATCCCTTTATAAACTGCTCCCTCATCCCAAAACTTAACAAATGAAGTACAGCAGAACATCTCACTTACTCCCCCTCAGAATCTCAAGGGTGTAATCCAAATGCCACTCCCCCCAAGAGAGAGGCAAGGAACAGGTTTCCGCCAATTACAGGAAGGCGGACAGAGCTAAGGTGTACAAAGTTGGAGACTTTGGCCCAAATGAGGGGTGACTCCGCGCTCTGATTTGGGAGGACAAGTGTGGGGATGGGGGGAGGCGGCTGCACGTGAAAGGCCCGGGACCTTAAGAAAAATGCCCGTCCTAGATTGGAGTGAGTACCAGGGAGCTCTCAGCAGCAGAGGTGGCGGCAAAGGTACGACCTGAACCTCCTGGTGAGGAGCTACGTGGCACTAAGCAAACAGGCTTTGGTCTCTCCCACCCCCAGCTTCCGCCCCAATCTTTTTCCCTTTTGGTTACCAGTTGCTCCAGATGCCGTAGAGGAGTTCCACAAAAGCGAAAGAGAGGTTCAGGCACAGGAAGAAAAACAGGTTCCGGGACGTCTTGTCCGACAGGATAGACCTAGATGTGACACAGTGGGGAAGAGAGAGGAGAGTCAAGGGGGTGCCGGATCCCCTAAACGGGGTCCCTCTTTCAAGACTTCTCCCCAAACCACCCCCCGCCCCAGGTCCACATGTTCCTTGCTTCACTGTGGGCAAGGAGTTGACAGGTAGTCCTTGATGCTCCCTCTCCCCTCCCAGGGCCATCCGTAGGGTCTGGGCCTTCTCCCCGACACCCGCAAAGACAGCACCCCGCACCTAAACCAGCTGGAGATCTTGCCGAACAGATTGAACTTGGGTGGTTTGTATTCATCGTCTTTGATGGACAGGGGCAACATCTTCTTTGCCTGGCGAAAGGCCAGGTCCAGTCCCCTCTGAAAGTGGCTCCGGGGGCGTGATGATGGCAGTGACAGTAGTGACGCCTCAGACTGGAATCCCCAAGCGCTCGTCGGCGACCGCGCGCCGCGGCGAGACACAGACACAGACACACACACCCAGGAACTCGCAGACTTCCGGCCCGGGCCGCGCAACGGGTCCTGGGACGGGAAAAGGAGGCGGAGCCGTGGGTGGGGCCTTGCGGCGGGGGCGGGGCTCGCGGCAGGGTGCTCTGTGCGGAGGCTGTTGGAGAGCGCAGGCTGCCAAGTATGAGGCGGTCTGAGAGGCTGACCTGCGCAGGAGTTCCGCCACCCGGACTCAAGAGGAAAATCCTGAGGTGGCCAACTTCAGGCTGGGATGCCGGGAGTCGGAGCGCCCGCTCAGGCCTCCTCACACTGCTCCCGGAAGCGCGGCCGCTGCGCGCCTGCCCTTCCGCCGTTAACCCTCTGTGGGCATGTAGGTCCTGGGGCGGCGGTGGCAGCTGCCGAGGCGGCCGGCGCCCCCGTGTTCTCGTGCAGCCAAGCCGTAGGAAGCCTGAGGGAGGGTTTTGCTTGGTGAATTCGGGGGGCACCCAAATCCTGGTAATCCACCCCACCCCGCCCTGAGAGCAGCGCCCGCAGGAGGCGGCCACGCGCGCCCTTGGCAAGCCAGACTGCTGAAGGGATTTAAATGAAGCCATTTAAAGCTAGGCCCTGGGACCCTGGGTTTGGATTACGGTTTGGCTGATGTTCTGCTTCCCCCACAACCCCCATCCGCCGACACTAGAATTCATCCTCATCTCTTTTGCCTCCCGGGTCTCGCCCGAGCTACAGCTGTTGCTGTCACTCCAGTCAGACCCTCAGGGTTGATTTCGGGGTCCTACAGCTGACTCGGGGGTGTGAGGCTAGGGAGTGCGGGCCGCTGGGCGGGCACTCGAGCGCCCGAGAAACACCCCTCCCTTGGGGCGCCTTCTCCCGGGGATGGGTTTGGGTCAGGTGGCCCGTCACGTGGAGGATTTAAACTTGATACCTTGCGGGGGCGGGGATTGGAGGACGGCAGGACCGGCTTTCCGAGGTGGGCTGGAAACTACAAAACCGAGCTTCTTGGGAATGCCTTTTGGGCGAACAGGAAGTGGAGCGTCACCGAAAGGGAGGGGTGGCAGCTCGGGGACTGTCCCCTGCTCCGGGCGCTCAGTTTGCGGGCGGCGCTTTTTCCAGGTTATCAGTCCAGAGAATGAGGCAGGGTGGATGAAGGCTGCTTGGTTTAGGAAAAAAAAAAAAAAAATGAGCCAGCGAGACGCCCCTTCCGTTTCATGATCACCAAGCTGCTAGCAAATAAATCGGCTGGCCTCACTGCAATCTTCTGCACTGAAGGTAAGGAGACAGGAAAATGCAATCGTGTTACAATTTTTCTTTTTTGCAATGAGGGGATAGGCATGTTTTGCTCTTGTTCTTGGAACTTTTGTGTCATATGAGGACAGTAATTCAGTGGTTTTATTTTTGAAAATATGTATGCACTTATGGCACAGTTTTTAAAAATGCACATTAATTAAAACAAGTGTAAATCCAGCAAGGCTCTTGAAATTAAGTTCTGAAAGAGTATTTTGTTTTTGCCTTTCTCAGTGTATGAGATTTCATTGTTTTAATTTAAACCTAGAAATATTTTCAATTAGTAGCATTTACTTTTTTTCCAAAAGCTTTTATGTTAGCGATACAATGTTACTCTACTGCACTACTGGGGAAACCTAATTTGGAGCAAACTAGGTAATTTAAAGAGTAACATTTCCATGGCAATTGTTTTCTTATCAAAGCTGCTTTATTTCAATATGATGTAACTTGGTGGGGGGGGGTGATGTAGAAATCATCAAATTTCAGCAACCGATTTCCAGCATTCTCTTATCAAGGTCGACTGCAATTTGAACCTGTATTTTGTATTCTGCCTTAGAATATAAGTTCTGTATTTTATGCTATATTGCTACAAATCAATAATTGCTCAACTGGAGAAACCTACATTACCCCTCTTCAAATAAGTTTTGAAATGTTAGAAAATTTGATGTTGAATTTCAGATATATCAGTTTCCAGAGACTCCCAAATTCCCTCCTTCTCCATCTCCCTCCTCCCCAAAGATATATGCTAGGTATTCCTGGGAGGACTTTGTCCTTTCAAAAAGTGACAGTGCTACTTAACTTCTCATCTTTTGGTCTTGGACATCATAATGACCAAATTTAATTCTGAAGGTGTTTTATTGGGGGTATAAAGTGTAGATGGACACTGTTTAAATCAGAAAAAGTACTATAAGTGGAAAATATTCCATTTTGTTTCACTTCTTTCCTCATCTTGAAACGTACATCCAAAGTATGTTAACCTGTTCCCATATTAAAGTTCATTTCATTCATTCATTCAGCAGTCATCCAATAAGCATCTACAGTGTGTCTGACTGTGAACTGAGACTAGGGGTACAAAGCCAAATAAGTCAAAGTTCTTTCCCTGGGTGAATTTTATGCAGAGGAGAAACTGATGTGAAGAGATGACTGTTAACAGTCAAATCAGAATTTTAGAACTGTCTTTTTGTCTAAAAAAGATTTATTTATTTATTTGAGAGACAGAATTACAGATAGAGAGAGGGAGAGAGAGGTCTTCCATCTGCTGGTTCACTCCCCATATGACCACAATGGCCAGAGGTGGGCTGATCCAAAACCAGGAGCCAGGAGCTTGTTCTGGGTCTGCCATGTGGGTTCAGGGGCCCAAGCACTTGGGCCATCTTCCACTACTTTCCCAGGCCATAGAAGAGAGCTGAACCAGCTCACATATGGGTTGCTGGCCCCACAGGCAAAGGCTTAACCTGCTACACCACAGTGCCGCTCCCAGTTGTGTTTAAGATGTATACAAGAGATGCCCTAGGAGCAGTGACAAGGGAGATCTATAATTTAATGAGTCTTTCTTCGAATACTAAGCCATTGCTCTTGCCCCTTCAATAAGTTGCATTGTGGAATAACATGATTTGGAAAAATTAAAAGTGATGATTAAGCTGTATTCAGCTAGCCAATATCTTGCAAGTCTCCAATCAGATACAATATGCTGGTAGTTTCCAATCAGAATTCTTAATTCCATTATGTTATAAGATTAGATAGAGCTTTAGGATTGTAAAATAGATATAATAATGAACATTTTTAAACTAAGAAATTTATTTCTAAATTTAATTTTAAAATATTTGTTTATGTCATTACCTACCAGTTAGTTGCATTAAATTAACTATGCATCCTCTTTGGGGAGAAAAAAGCTTCCCAGACATGTGATTGAAGACCTTGAGAAGTTAAAACAGAGAATGAATAGGCAGAAGCTCATCTCCAGCAATGGTTCCAGCTGGTTTCTGACAATAGTCAATAAGGAATAGGAATGATGCAATCTGTCATTTTTCATCATTAACCCTGGCATTTATGTGCAAGTCTATTTTAGACTCCATGGTTTTTAGGTGTTTTGAGTTGAATGCCCCATGGGCCATTGGTGAAAAAAGAATTTATAATAGTCAGACAGACTACAAATACGTATAATTCCAACAATTTTGCAAATGCAAATTGCTAACATGTTCAGAGGTTGTGTTCTATGACTATGGTTTCAAATACGTGACCGTTGGATAGTTGAGATACAGTGCTTTTATTCTGCTTCTGGACCTCAGAAAGCAAAAATGCAGCAGTGTTAGCAGGAAGTAACAGGAAACCATTATCTTCCTCATTGCCAAAATGTAATTTGTAGAACACAAAATAGCAAATTCTTATTTCTAAAAATAAGTCAAAGCCTATTAAAAGCATTGAAATTCTTTTTAAATTTCTTGCTGATTGCCAAAAACATTATAGAAAATTCTTTGCTTTCCCTTAATAGTGCAAAGGCCTGTTCGTATCAATCTTTGAAGCCATAAGGAATTTTAAAAACAAAAAACTGCTAACACAATGAGGTAAGTAAAAGTATTTTTTTTGCTTTTTACAAAAAAAGTGGTAATATACATATAACATAAAACTTATCATCTTCATTATTTTTAATTGTGTATTTCAGAACTGTTAAGTAGTTTCATGTTTTGTATAGCCCATCTCCAAAACTTTATCTTGTGAAACTAACATATGTATTCATTAAACAGTTGTCCATTTCTCCACACCTCTATTCCCTGACAAACCATTCTACTATGTGTCTATGAATCTGAGTATCCTGGGTACCTCATATAGGAGGAATCATACAATATTTGTCTTTTTTGTGACTGGCTTACTTAACATAGCATAACGTCCACAGGGTCTATCTGTCATATAATGTGTCATAAAGACTGAGTAATGTTTGATTTTGTGTGTGTGTGTATGTGAGTGTTTGTGATTTTCTGAATGGATATCCATTCATCCATCAGTAGATATTTGAACTGTTTCTGCCTTTTAATTATGACAAGTAATGCTGCAGTGAACATGGGTGAAGTACCAGTGTTTTTATCTGAGAAAAGCGATTTCCTATAGAAGTGTTTTTGTTACCTTGAAAATTAAGTTCTTACTTGAGCCACAGACACAGTTAGAAAATAATATAGGCTTTTTACAGGACTGATCCATCACAGTATTATAAAATGAAGTCAATATCTGTAAGTTTGAAACTTTTTGTAGACTAGAACAAAGCTGAAAAATAGAGAATATGCAGAAGATGCAGACATTGACAGGTGGCTCAAGTGAGAGTTGGAAATTTGGTTGTGACCCACCACTCTTTCTGTGACTCAGGAAATTCACTTCATTTTCTAAATCTTAACTGTCCCATCCACAAATTGGGTGCATGTATCTTTATTTCTTTTGTAAGGATTTGAAATGGTACCAATTTGAGATGTTGTGTGACATGAAGGGACAAGAGCTCTGACAACTTTCATTATTACTGCTAATCTTTGTGAGGTCAGGAACTGAGTCTTCCCAGTCATTACCATCCCTAGTGCCTGACAGTGCTTGCACACGTAGCACTTATAAATACTTGTAGATTGATGGACCACCACAAATATTATGATGTCCCCCTATAGCTTGCCTCTTAGGTTTGAAATATAAAAATATTTGTAAGTCAAAACCCATATGTATAAAATCTGTTTCTCTTAGAAAAGTGATTTTAGAATGTGAGTTTATTGTTGAAAACCAGAATTGAGTAAAAAGGATGAGGTTCCATAGAATATTCCAAGGATCTGTTGACTAGCTATCTTGCCTTTCTCCATTTTCATGTGACTAAACCAAATGGAGGTTCAAATGAAAAGCTCCAATATCCTGGAATGGTAAAAGTCATATATTTGCAAATATACTTGTTTTGTTTTTGACCCATTTCTGAAACTAATTTTGCATGGCACTGTACTGAGCTAAAAATGCCTTTCTATTTCTAGCTTTCTTCTTAGGATCCATTGACTCCTTGAATCCTTACAAGTCATTGATGTTGTTCTTAGGATGTTGTTTCTTACTCCTGTTGTGATACAGATCATTGGATTGATCATGTCCAAACATCATCATCATCCTGTCATCATCAATAGCTACAATTAATCGACAGCTCCAGGAGAGAGGTGCAGTGCTAGAAAGAACTTTCATCTACAATAATTCACACTCTGCTTTGAAACTAGAAATTCTTATTGTTTGCCTCAGTTACAAATGGCTGTAGTGAAGGAGACAGATGATGAGGGGAAAGGCTATACATTATGTTTGTATGTTTTTTCCCTTAAATCAATAATAATAAAACAACCTAGTTAATTGATAATAGCTGCCTGAAATTGTGCTGAAAAGGAATATGATCCTTTATTTAGTAAATGGGAGAGGAAAAATAGAAAATGCCTAGACTGTTGGACAGCATTTGTTGTGGATGAAGGAGTGAAATTCGATAAGAAAATAGACACAAGTACTTAGTGTCTGATAGCCCTATTTTACATGCTACCCTTGTTCTTTCTAATTTGATTTACCTGTAAAGAAATGACTCATTTAACCTGGCTGCCAGCAGGAGAACTTGCTATTTAATGTAATCAGTGAAGAAATGTATTTCTCACAGCTTTCAGTGAGAAATGACCTGTTGCAAGTGGCATCCATTTATCTATTCAGATGTGATATGACAGTACATTAAGCCATTTCTTAGTATGTTTTAGCATTTCTGTTTCAAAACTGTTTCTCATAAATATTTCAAAACTGTTTCTCATAAATATAATAAGGGCAGGAGTAGGCCTTCACAATGACAGGGTTTAAATTTGCTATCAGTGATCATGTATGTATGCAGCCAGTGATACTTTCAAGTGCAAATATGGGCTGAACATTTGTCCCAGCATTTAAGACACCACGTATGTTACCTACATCTCCTATCAGAGCACCTGAGTTCAAGGTGTAACTCTACTCTTGATTCCAGCCTCCTGCTAATATACCCCCTGGGAAGCAGCAGGTGATGGATCCTCAAGTAGTTAGGTCCTTGCTGCCCATATAGGAAACCTAGATTGAGTTCCTGGCTCCTAATTATTTGGGGAATACAGCAGCAGATAAGGTATCTTTCACAGTTTGTGTGTCTCTACTTCTCAAATTAAATAAACAAGAAAGAGAAAAAGGATCACTTTAACATTGATAACCTGTCCATAATGTAGTTAGTCCAGATTGTAGTTATCTAAATAATCTGTTTGTATACTCATATCTTTGGTCATAAACACAGTGAGATCACAAGATGCTTTTATTATTATGATAAATCTATTCCTGTCTTTCCTACTATACCTATTATACCTATTATTAACACAAAATAAATCATTTTATATATTTTTAACACAAAATAAATAATTTTTAAATATTTGTACTTGAAATAGGAAAAATATAATGGGAGTTTAGAACATTGTAAGAATTTTGTAAGGAAAAAAAGTGAGAGAAGAAACCATTGGTAGAAGATGAAAACAGCAGTATGGCATTTCTAAAATAACAGGGATAGGGTGCTATCTGCGCTGTGGCACAGAGGGTAAAGCTGCCGCCTGCAGTGCCGGCATCCCATATGGGCACCGGTTCTGGTCCCAGCTGCTCCACTTCCAATCCAGCTCTCTGCTGTAACCTGGGAAATCAGTAGAAGATGGCCCAAGTCCTCTGGCCCCTGCATCCACATGGGAGACCCAGAAGAAGCTCCTGGCTCCTGGCTTCCAATCAGCACAGCTCCGACTGCTGCAGCTGTCTGGGGAGTGAAACAACAGATGGAAGACTTCTGTCTCTCTCTCTGCCTTTCCTTCTCACTCTATGTAACTCTGACTTTCAAATAAATAAATCTTTAATAAAATAACAGGGATAAGAACAAATTTCCTGAAAAATGGGTAAAATAAACTTCCCAAATTTCTAAATAGCCCTGGGTAAGCCTTGTGAAGCAAGTGACCTTTCATGTACTATTTCTGCCATTCTATATTATACAGTGAAATGAATTCTAGTTTGTGCTGCTTAAAATTTTAAAGGAAGAGGCTATTGTGGACCCTTTTGAACTTTGTGTTTGAACTTAGTTTTCTTTTCTTATCCTCAAGTCTGTAGTTTTTGTTCCTTGTTGAATTCAAAAATAGAAAATTTTCATAGGTAAACAGACTTTGTTTAAGTCACAGATACGGCCTGCTGGATTAAGAAGTGTAATTTCTGGTTATTGTTACTTCTTAAAACCCCTCAGGGAAATTCACAAGGATGATATTTTTAACAAATAATGAAATTCCCCCAGTGAAAATCAATTCATTCACCAGTATATGCTTAGAAATAATGATCTTCAAAGATATCTTAATGCAGCATGTCTTTGAAAAGATGTGAAAAAAAAAGTCAGAGGTCTGAGACATCTTTTATTTATCAAGTAGCTTGGCCCCAGGACTGAAAGTAGAAAGGTCACCTGTGTGGTCTGGTCTTGCGGTCACGTTTCATGACCTGCTCTCCTGGTTACCAGATGGAAGATAGCCCAGGTCTTTCATGTAGGGAAAAGTTTCTTTGGTGCTGTGTAATCTTAATTGGGCCTTAATTTGCATTTAATTTGAGTTTATTCTATTAAAATTTCAAGCATCCATTGTGAAGTTTACATCAATTTAAACATAGATTGCCTTGCTCCATTCAGCTACAAAGAATTGAACACTTACTAAAAAATTGGACTAGACACTGTTGTGAATTATAAAGATTGACAGAGACTGCCCCCAAGATATATGCACACTAAAAAAGGAGCTAGAAGCACATTTGTTAGTTGTGATACCTGGAAACAAGATCTAGTTGCACTGTGTTCAGGGTTTGCAGGAGCCCTGAGGGTGGAGAACGTTGAGGGAATCATTCACAGACAAAGTGTTATTTGGAAGAGTCTTGAGGGGTGGGCAGAGGGCACAGAATTTCTCAGATAAAGGTAGGGGGTGCTTTGGAAATGAACAGATAAGCTTATGCCAATACTTGGAGTCATGGCCCAGCTCGCTGTGTATGGGTACCAATTAGGAGAAAAGTCCTTTGGAATTTCCATTCCCCTTTGCCTCAGTTTGAACAGTGTCTCTCATGTGCATACCATCAGCCTGGCCAGAAATTGCCCATCAGCTGCACAGCTGTCTTCCAGTTCTTTCCTTGTGTGTTTGTAAAAGGAAAGCCCTGGTTCTGAATCTGTGTCTGTGTTCCATCTTGGAATGATTTTATCTGTTGGCAACTAAAGCCCCTTTTCTGAGCATCTATATTCTATTACCAGGTTTTAGGCAAGTACACATTCTGGAGGATGAGCCAGAGGAGAAACAATCTGTACAGTATGAGACAAATTTCATAGAGAAATGGCAGAATAGTTACACTGTTCTACCATCTGTGCCACCAAAATGAAAATGACAGCTTTTCAGCGTACAATGCCAAGCTGCTCATTGCTTTTCTGCTTATGAGTCACAGAACACAGCTAATCTTTGTTCATGCCATGCTCTGGCATGTTTGTTTATAGCTTCTCTCTTGATAATTGTTGCTTTTCCAGTCTAAGGAAATAGCCCTAAGAATTCGACAGTGCTCCTTCTAGAGAACTTTGATAGCTGATGCAGTAAATAACTGAAAGCAGGTTTTTTTTTTTTTTTAAAAGATTTATTTTGTTTACTTGAAAGAGTTACAGAGAGAGGTAGAGACAGAGAGAGAGGTCTTCCATCTGCTGGTTCACTCCCCAAATGGCCACAAAGGCCACAGCTAAGCTAATTGGGAAGCCAGGAGCTTCTTCCAGGTCTCCCACCTGGGTGCAGGGGCTCAAGGACTTGGGCCATCCTCCTCTGCTGCTTTCCCAGGCTCATTAGCAGGAAGCTGTATCAGAAGTAGAGCAGCCGGGACTTGACCTGGCACCCGTATTGGGATGCTGTGCTGCAGGCTGGGGCTTTAACCTGTTGCACCTGAAAACAATTACCAAGTGCATTTAAAGACATACCAGGCCGCCGACAGACTCTCTAGGCTGCCGGGTGCGGTCTGTCACCGCCAGGGCAGGGCAGAGGCGCCGAGGTACCATGAGGCGCAGGTAGAGAGACAAAGAGACAGACATGCATAGAGATCTTACATCCACTGGAGATTTTACATCTGTTGGCTCACTCTCCAAATGCCTAAAAAAACCAGGACTGGACCAGACCTAAGCCATGGAACCATATTCTCAGTCTGGGTCTCCCACGTGTGACAAGAACCCAGGTACTTGGGCCGCCATCTGTTACTTCCCAGGTATTTAAGAGATTATGGCATCTGAAACCCACAATGTTAAAAAACGGAACTTTTGTACTAATATTGAGGATCATTCCACTGATCTTCCTAGAAAAAGGATCTCTAATTTCACCAAAGAACATGAAGGAGGTTAAGAAATCTCCCAAACATTTGGCTGCTTACATAAACAGAACAGTTGGACAAGCTGCGAAAACCCCAGATAAACTACATAAGGTGATCTATCGCAGAAAGAAAGTTCATCATCCCTTTCCAAATCCTTGTTACAGAAAAAAACAGTCCCCTAGCACTGGGGGCTGTGACATGGCAAATAAAGAAAATGAACTGGCTTGTGCAGGTCACCTGCCTGAAAAATTACACCATGATAGTCACACATATTTGGTTAATTCCAGTGACCCTGGCTCTTCACAGACAGAAAGCCCATCATCAAAATATAGTAGTTTTTTTTCTGAGGTTTCTCAGGACCATGAAACAATGGCCCAGGTTTTATTCAGCAGGAATTTGCGATTGAATGTAGCTTTAACTTTCTGGAAAAAGAGAAGCATAAGTGAACTTGTAGCCTATTTGGTGAGGATAGAAGATCTTGGAGTTGTAGTAGATTGCCTACCTGTACTCACCAATAGTTTACAGGAAGAAAGACACTATATCTCACTTGGCTGCTGCGTGGACTTGTTGCCTCTAGTAAAGTCATTACTTCAAAGCAGATTTTAAGAATATGTAATAGTTGGTTTAAACTGGCTTCAAGCAGTCATAAAAAGGTGGGGGTCAGAACTGTCATCCAAATCAGAAATCAGAAATGATGGAAATATTTAGATTTTAAGACAACAATTAAGTGGGCTGTGGGAACAAGAAAACCATCTTACTTTGGTTCCAGGATATACTGGTAATATAGCTA